GGCAGTTTTTCTCAGTCAGCACAGGCAGAGGTGTAAAAAACGAACTTGAGTAAACAAACGATTTAACTAACTTTTTCTATTGTATGATTTCAATCGTTTGTTTTTTTTCTTCCTTTATCAAGCAAAAACCAAAACTATGAATCAATGGACCACTGGACAAGGTACGAATTTAAGCATTCTGATATATGCTACTTAACCAGAATTTCACGTAAAACACAATTCGCGCAACAAAAGTTACTGAAACCAACTCCTAGCGGAGTTATTAACATTTCTATTTCACATTGGTTACAAGGAATTTGAACTGCCCGCTCACAAGAAACTCAAAGCTCTACGTGAGTCAAATCGCGCACTACAACGGTTTCAGCAAGCTTCTCAATCGAGCAATGTTCATTTCCCACCATGTGTTTTTCAAACTATAGGTAATTTGCTATAACTGAGCCAAAGCGTCAAGAGTGAGGTTGCCAGATTTTTTTTTATCGCAGGGACGTTTATGATAACGTTTAGCACGCGATGTGAATCACGTAGAGCATTGAGTTTTGATGAGCGGGTGGTTTGAATTCACGCACCAAGAATCATTGAATATCTTCGGAAGGAGTTGATTTTGGTAATTTTCGTTGTGCGCATCGTGTTTTACGTGAAATTTTGGTGAAGAAACATTTGGCTCTAGGTAATTTGCTATAGCTAAGCCAAAGCGTCAAGATTGAGGTTGCCAGATTTTTTTTATCGCAGAGACGTTCATGATAACGTTTAGCGCGAGATTTGAATCACGTAGAGCATTGAGTTTTCATGAGCGGGTGGTTTGAATTCGCACGCATCAAGAATCATTAAATATCTTCGGGAGGAGTTGATTTCGGTCATTTTCGTTGAGCGCATCGTGTTTTGGTAAAGAAACATATATCAGAACGGTGAAATTCGTACCTTGTGTAGTGGTCCATTGAAACCTTTCGCGGGGAGAGTTTTTACTAGCTCACCAGATTAGAAAGCAATGTTGTTATTTGCTGACATATGTTGATGTAATGTTACTAATATGGATGGAATGTTAAATCAGTATTGTCAGGATAAGACTGACAATATCAACATTGATGTAAGCTTGATAGACCAGCAATCAAGGAGATGTCAAGAAGTGTCAACCTGATAACAATGTTGACGGGGGCATATCAATATTATGTCAGATTATTGTAATGTTACTTCAACCTTACTATCAATGTTGTTTCAATGTTCAGCCAAGTCCGTGGCAGTAGCACATCAACATTGATGCAATCTTACCTCATTCTTACTAAGATGGATATAATATGGCTGCAATGTTGATGTGTAAGATGTGCAATATTATACTAAGATTGTATTAAGGTTTTATGCTGAGTGGAGAGGTCTCCCTCCGGGCAAACCTAACTACCGACCATGGAGAAAAACTGCGCGCATGCGCGATAAATTAGAAAACGCGTGTTAGAAACTACGCAAATTGCGTGCTAAGGAGTGGATTCCAGACTATTTTAATGTGTGCAGCGTGACTTTCTAACGAATTTACCCTTAGCAAGTATATCCAGTTGGCTGCGTCTCTTGCGCGCAACGGGCTAATTTCTATGTAAAACAGGGCTCATGTTAAAATTGAGATGAGCCTTTATGCCAGAGGCGCAACGACTTGAAGCATCTTGGAGTACATCATTTAACTGATGAGCCTTAGATTACGCAAGAATACTAGCGTTGTGAGTGCGGTGGCGATTGCGGACGTGGCGTTTGCGAATGGACCATTAGACAAGGTACGAATTTCAGCATTCTGATACATGTTTCTTCACCAAAATTTCACGTAGAGTACGATGCGCACAACAAAAATTGCCGAAATCAACTCCTTGCGAAGATATTTAATGATTCTTGGTGCGTGAATTGAAACCACCCGCTCATGAAAACTCAATGCTCTACGTGATTCACATCGCGCCTTAAACGTTATCATGACAGTCTCTGGCAACCTCGATCTTGACGCTTTGGCTCAGCTATAGCAAGTTGCTTATAGTTTGAAAAACACATGGTATGGTGGGAAATGCACATTGTTCGATTGAGAAGCTTGCTAAAACCGTTGTAGTGCTCGATTTGACTCACGTAGAGCTTTGAGTTTCTTATGAGCAGGCAGTTCAAATTCCTCGTAGCCAATGTGAAATAAAAACGTTAATATCTCCGTTAGGAGTTGGTTTCAGTAATTTTCGTTGCGCGAATCGTGTTCTACGTGAAATTCTGGTTAAGAAACATGTATCAGAAATTTTAAATTCTTACATTGTTTAGTGGTCCATTCTCATATTTTGATGGTGGCGATTGCGGAGAGGCGACGCAGGGCCGTGGAGTTTGCGAATCAAAGAGTTTCGGTGGTGGCGATTGCGGACACAGGGGTAGGCATTTACATATACTGCCTCCACCCCCCCCCCCCCTGTATATCAAAGAAAAAAATTACCGGCGTTGTGGGGCTTATTGGCAAAATTGACGTATGCGTCGCGTCAAATAGTACAATCGTCGAACAAATGCGTTTGCAATCTTCCAAACGCACACTATGAGCAGATTCGTCGGTGATAGGACAAAATGTCCAAAAATAAATGTCCAGAGTAAAAAAATGGCCACTGTAAAAAAAAAAGGGCCATGAAAAAAAAATGTCCAAGTGCCTGAAATGTCCAGTAGCGGTAAAATGGCCCGAATAAAAAATAACTTTACCGGGAATAGGTAAGGAAAACTTTGTATCACTGCTTCTTGATTATCTCCATGGATATTTATGTAGAAAGCTTCCAAGCTCACTATTTTGCCGCTTTGTAAAAGTATGTCACATTTGGGCATTTTTTTTTTTTTTTTGGCTATAATACTGCTACATGAACATTCCAGATATTTGGACCTGTTTTAGATGTGGACTTTTTTTGCTTTGGACATTTATGTACTTTAGGTTTTTATTTTTGGACATTTTGCCATATTCCCGATTCGTATCGTTAAGATTTTTGAAAAAAAGTCTCACAATTTAAACATGTTTTCTTTCTTTCATCAAATCTCGCATCGTGGGGCGACACGTTGACAGCAAAGTACGATAAAAAATTTTATGCCCGATATACTTCCGAAACATGTAGGATGAACTTCAACCGAAGGCAGATGACAGTAATCGATGTAATGAATGGCTCGAAGGCCTTGACGCCTTTTGTGTGACGAAAATCATTATGTGGCAGATCATCTCCTATCACATAATGATTTTACAATAATTCTACCTGGAGCGCACTTAAACTAGGCATTGATGACTGCAAAAATGTGAACAGAAATCGAAAAGGCCAGCGTGCATGGAGGCTATTTCCATTTTAATCTTCCGTCACATTCTTACGGCGCAATGATACAACTATTTGAACTCTCCGGAATGCGTGAGGTATCACGTCGCATTTGAAGGCGTTTTCAAAACAGCCAAGTTCCGATACCCAGATTGTCGTTTTGCATAGTTCATATTACTTTGTTTTCATTTCTAACCACTTGTTTATTCTTAACCCTCGTATAAAAACCACTCATTTGCTAAATACAATTCTAGCTGAAGCGCACTTAAACTATGCATTGATGACTGCAAAAATGTGAACGGAAATCGAAAAGGCCAGCGTGCATGAAGGCTACTCCCATTTTAATCTTCCGTCACATTCTTCCGGCGCAATGATACAACTATTTGAACTCTCCGGAATGCGTGAGGTATCACGTCGCATTTAAAGGCGTTTTCAAAACAGCCAAGTTCCGATACCCGGATTATCGTTTTGCATAGATCATATTATTTTGTTTTATTCCGTACCACTTGTTTATTTTTAATCCTCGTATAAAAACCACCCATTTGCTAAATAAAATTGAGGAGCTTTCCGGAAAAAGGGCACATACCGAAAAAACAAGTTGTGAGAAAAACGCATTTGAAGTTTCCACTCCTACTTTCTGGGCACTGAATATGACATACATCGGAACTGGGGCACTCATATCAACGTTCATACACCCTAGAATGAATAACGACTATTGGTAAAACTTACACTTCTTTCAGTGTTATGGGAGGAATTTTTTAAAATTTTCCGTTATGTGCCCTTTTTCCGGAAATGGACCGGTGGTTATAGGTTTTGGCTTTCAAAGCTAAATTTTTAAGACTTTAACGAGTTTCTAAACGAAAATAAATCATACTTTCGATCGCGAACGTGCGGGTGGATCATTTTCGATCATCGTTAATAAAAAAGACAGCAAAACACGCGAAAAAATCGAAAAATTATAACCCACAAGGGACAATTAAAAATTGAATTATTAATAATTGCAGAATTTCACGTGTCACCGGTAAAACGCATAGACAATCACTGCAACCCGATTATATTGCATTGATTAGCATAATCAGTGCGATGCATCTGTAATGAGGGATCCTTACTTATATCAGTACCCATCACCTGCCTGCCTGCGCCATGCGCGCTATCTCCTCAACGTAGCGTCGCCGTACCCGGGGGCGAAAAGATGAAATACGCCTGACTTAGCCTCACAAAACTTGGTCTCTTAGCTCCAAAAATTGATCAATTATGCTGAAACTCGGGACATCGGTACATTAGGATGCGAGGAATCCGTTTCTGCCCTTCCCGGAAAAAGGGCACATACGCGTATGTGCCCCTTTTCCGGAATGCTCCTCGATTATTTTTTTGAAGCGAAACCCAGCGGCTTCTTTTTACTAAAATTGTAACTAAAAGGCTTTAGAGGACAGGGCGCATGAGAGCAGTTTATAATATTTCGAGAAATATGTGTTTGAAGTTTCGAAACTATATGGATCCTTATGGCGGAAAGAAAGTTCAAACTGACTTTTGGATGCTTAAAAATTGGAATTTGGTGAAGAATTTTTCATTGAATATGCATTAAGACTATTTCTATTAAAAATCATTAGTATCTTAATTTTTTCAAAAACTGCACCTAAGCACCTTGTCCTCCAAGCCCCTCAATTTTGTGCGGTGGCAATTTCGTACAAAAACAAAAATAAATTAAATACATTATACGGGCAAATCCTTATGAAAATAGAAGGTGAGGAAAACTTCCGTTTATTTTTTTTCATTCATTTTTCAGAAAATACAAAAAAATTATATTTAAGTGACAGTTCGTTTAAAATTGAACAGACTAAGTAGTAACGTAAGAGTTGTTTGAGACATGATCAGGAGGAAGAAAGGAATTACAATCATTAAAGGTGAGAATATACAGAATTGATAAGAATCATAGAGGATAGATTGTTTACAAAATCGAGTGAACGTTCAGATCGCAAAACAAAAATAAGGAACAAGATGATGATGCTTAAATACAAAACCTTCCATTTCATTTTACAAATAGGCGCAGTGGCAATTCTTGAAAGTTGGCAACACTGTTTCTCTCCATTTAAATGTATGTAAAATGATCAATTCTTGGTGAGGCATACCTAAATCTATATTTTTAACGGATCTAAATGGAGGGAAACAGCGTTGCCAGCTTGCAGAATCGCCACTGAATAGGCGGGTAACAAATTTAATAATTAAAGTTATACAGAAGATCAAATTCTAATTGGATTGCATTTTGCAAAAAGGAACCAAGAGCATTCCACTGTTGCTAAGATTGTGCAACTATTTTACCTCGCGAGTGTAAACTTATCATCCAAACAAGTTTTATCTTGACTTCCAACAAACTATGAATTCGAGACAAAAATTACCTTTTTACATTAGATTCTTTGCATGATTTTAGTAATTTTTTGCGAAAAATGTAAGTTGCACAATCCTAGCGACATAGAAATGCTCTTGGTTCCTTTTGGCAAAATGCAAATCAATTGGATTACATTTTTCGATGAGGAACTGCCTTCTGGGTCATTACAAAACCACCACCTCGCAAGGAGAAACCATGGCACATGCGTTGTTTCTAAAATAAGTCAGAATTGGCAGTACCATATTGCAAAATGTGGTCCGATTTAAGTTCGCCATGAGATCAAGAGACTGGAATCGACCAGGAGACAAGGTACGAATTTAAGCGTTCTCTTACACGTTTCTTTCCCAGAATTGGATGCATTTATGCTAAAACTTAGTTCCTTTTAGCATAAATACGTCCAATTTCACGTAAAACGCGATTCGTCTGAGGGAAATTACTGAGATCGACAATCGCGGGTCGTGCTCTACTTCAAATTTTGGTTAAGAAACGTGAAACAGAATGTATCAATTCGCTCTTTGTCTACTGGTCTTCCGGACGAAGCGTCAATAATTTTAAAAACAGTAAAAAATAAATTAAACAACATAGCCAATTACGAGAGGAATTCGGCGGGAAGGGTTTTCACTTTGAGAACTTCAATCGAGTGAGCTCCCCGCATGTGCGTCCGATAATGCGCCATGTTGGAAAAGACCTTTCTACATAATTCGCAGAATGTATCCCCGGTGTGCGCTTTCTTGTGATTGATAAGATTCTTATCATGAGCGTAACTTTTATTGCATTTATCACACTTGTACGGTCTCCTGTCAAACACAGTCACTCTCCTTATGACTAGAATAAGAAATAAATAAATATGAATCAGCGAGGATCAAATGACATTATAAACACTGGATGCATTGCACTAAGAAAATCGTTACTTGCTGAAGTCACCATCAATTTTGCGTTAAGCCATTCACGTGTATACTCTGCCGTGCTAAGGAATCGCCGTTCGAGCCTTCCGGCGTTGCCATACTTTTTCAGATTAAATACGAATTTCCAAAGAAACTGTTGGATATTGTTCATCCTTTTTTTTTTTTTTTTTTTTTTTTTTTTTTTTTTTTTTTTTTGGTTTGAGAATTTCACTCCCCGTTTGATTTGAGATATGAAGTATGAGGTATTAGGTTCATCAAAAACTGTTCTTTCATTAGGGGAAATTTGGCAACTCCTGAAGGCTCATACACGTTTTTACTTAGCACGGTAGTGTATCTCTCTTCCAATACAAGACAAGTCTCCAAAAATCACGATATCGATGGAAAGAAGAAAAATTTCCCTTACCTCTTGCTCACTCATTTATCGTCGTATTCTCAACGAAAGAACGGAACGAACTTTCAATGATGCCAAATTTCCCTTCGCAAATTGTATTTTTACCTGGAGAATTTTGGGCATTTTTGACTAGACATTTCCATGATTTTTCCTCTGCTTTCATGCGAAAAATCAGACAGATTTGAGGGGAAAATTGCACAGATATACGTTCTTGCAAAAAACCGAATTTTTTGAGTCAATTTTGCAACGTCGGGGTGGAGTTACGTTCCTCGGTGCGGGTAACGACGTTCTAATCAAGACTTACCATTTCGAGTGATTGCGACCCCGAGACGGAGGGTTTGCGCCTGTGGACGGTGGTCATGTGGGTGTCGAAATTGCCTTTGGTCGAGTACACTTTGTCGCAGAAAGCGCAGTAGGTCTCGCCAGTGTGGGCTCGGAGGTGCCCCAAAAGGTTGTGTTTGTGTTTGTACGCAGCTCCGCAGACGGTGCACACGTATTTTTTCGAGCCCCAATCGTACGTCCACAAGTCTTTCGCATTTCTCGAGCCTAGGTCAAACACAGAACACGACCGTAACTTTAGAAAATTGGACTACATTTTGCAATTTGGGACTATACATTCTAGCCCGGTTTAAAAACAACGTGTGTGCCATTAGTTTCCCTATGCACATTAGTGTTTCTCCAGAAGAGCCAGAATTTATAGTTCCAAATTGCAAAATGCAGTCCAATTAATATGGATAACTTCACCGCTTCCGGACGGTCGGAAAGGTAATTTGGACTACATTTTACAATTAGAAACAACGATTTCTGGCTCAGTTAAAGAACAACGTAAGTACCATTAGTTGCCCTATACCTACACATAAGTGTTTTTCCAGAGGATCCAGAATTTATAGTTCCAAATTGCAAAATGCAATCCAATTAATATGGATTACTCCACCGCTTCCGGACGATCGGAGAAGTAATTTGGACTAAATTTGGCAATTAGGAACTAAGATTTCTGGCTCAATTAAAGAACAACGTAAGTACCATTAGTTGCCCTATACACATAAGTGTTTTTCCAGAGGATCCAGAATTTATAGTTCCAAATTGCAAAATGCAATCCAATTAATATGGATAACTCCACCGCTTCCGGACGATCGGAGAAGTAATTTGGACACAATTTTGCAATTAGGAACTAAGATTTCTGGCTCAGTTAAAGAACAACGTAAGTATCATTAGTTGCCCTATGCACATAAGTGTTTTTACTAATTAGTCATAAATTGTAGTTTTCAATTGCAAATTGTGTTCCATTATACATTGGCACAGGGTTTCCGAAAAATCTATGATAAAACCGAGGAATAAAAATCGATTGGAGTCGGTTTTCTGGAATTGTTGGTTCATCTCTCTCTAGCAATAGCTGGATGTTAGGTTAGGTTAGGTTAGGTTAGGTTATGTGTTAAAAGCAGAGCTACGCCGCAAAGTTTGAACCCGCACGCTTGCCGCAACTTCAGAGTTTTATGACAAATTTTGGGCTAGTTATTTGTAAATGGGTTGCATTTCGTTTTGCTTATGAATTTGTTTTTCTCTTTATCTCTCACGGAAGAAAAAATTGAATGAATTTTTACTTGGAATTTTATTTTGTATCCCAGCAGCCTGGTTGTGGAAATTTATGTCGGCACGACAAGAATCGAAAATCTGTATATTACACAGCGCAGATAGGACTATGTCTTGTATCTTGCTGATAAAGCCAGGTAAAGTTTCAACAATCAGGCTACTGGTTGTTTAATGATTGGAGGATACTTTGGGTATTAAATATGGATTGATAAATAATTCGAGCGAAACGGGTTGGGATGCAGAAGGAAATGTTTTAATGTTTTGAAAGAGGCTCATTGGAAACACATGTCAGTACGGAAAGTCGTAAAGTAAATATTAATACATGAAGTTATAAGAATAACCAAAATAAAGATACATTAGAAAGCTTAAGGTAATTAAACTATAATTGACGTAAAATGTTGCCGGGATCAGTCTGACCTCAAATAAGAATTTGAAGAAATTGCTTCTGACTAAATTTGTTCTTACCTTGCTTAATTAGGGAGATTTTAAGAAAAGTATATGTCTTTTTATATAAAAATGAGTTGACTTAAATGAAATTATCTAGCCACGAAATAAAATAAATTACCTTGGGATAACAGTTTTAACATTTTGTGAATAACTTTTTCACAAAATAGATTGTGACCTCGATGTTAAATTAAGTAAAGCTTTTTAATAAGAATTTATCTTACATGATCTGAGTTCAGACCGGCGTAAACCAGGTCAGGTTATATCTTTGATTGAAAAATTATTCTATGGTGCGAAAGAATCTATGGACCTATGGATTATCAGTGAGACTGAATTAACCATTTAAATAGCTGGATTTGAGACCTAAGAAGGATATTAATGAGCTAATGGAAATTAACGTAACTAAGATAATTTGTAGTTGGATTGAAATAATGTAGATAGTATCAAGATATGGCACTGACTAGTTCTCTTAAGCGCAAAACGAGGTTACAACGTACAAAATTTGTACCTACTTTACAATCACAATATGCGAGTAATACGATGCAATGTTTTATTTTGAAAGGAAGAATTGAAACTGCTCTTTTGCATCGTTAAAAAGTCTATTGCAAGGGTCTGATTTTTTCTTCTTTTCCTTCTCTTCGTATTTCCTTTAATTTTTTTACTGAATTCCCTCTTCACAACTATGCCATAAAACAGCTACCCGTTATCTGTACTGGAGTCTTCATGTTGTTGGAATAAGAGCTTTTGATTGCTTCAAAACTGACGAAATCACAGTCATCAATAATCTACACCGAATGATAAAAATTAGTCCCGGAAAGAAAAATAAGTGCTTCGCAAACAGATTTGTTTGATAAGCCTGGCCAAAATTAAGGCTGACTTAATTGCAATTACGGTTCAGTTGGCCCAAAACAATCCTAAAAACCTATCCAAACATAGCATGGACTGCAATTCTGGCTGAGTCCACTGGAAAAGTCTGGTTGCGAAACTGGGACACAAGATTAGAAGTGCTCGTTTTTCCTTAGCGCTCCTTTGAGCACCAAAAATTAAGACATTTTTCGGTAAGAGGGCGACAGGGCGTATGAGGTTTGCAATGCTGCTAAGATCGTGGAATTTTTTGTAGCGTTTGCAGAGATGCAGTTCATTCACAGGCGATTTCCTTTCTTACGATGGGGAGGAAAAACTCGGTGCAGGTTTAGGGAAAATTTGTAGTAAAACTGTCCGATAAATTACTTATAACAACTAGAGAACTACCTTGAAAATATCAGCAGTCTTCCACGCCCTTTTACCGAAAAATGTCTCAATTACAGGATGGATAACGACGACACCTATATGTTTTAAAATAGCAAAATAAGAAACAAGAAGAAAAAAACGCTATTACTGGAATCATTCTCTCAAGGAGAGACACATACTAATTTGCTATTAGTTTACATCTTAACTCACTATTGACTTAGATCCTTGCGATGGACCGAATGCGTAAGAATTCTATTGCATTATTTACACGCAACACATGCAGAAAAATTTTTTTGAAAAAAAAAAAAAAAAAAAAAAAAAAAAAAAAAAAAAACAAGCATAATTGGATTTTGACTAAAAATTCAGTTTGACACATAAAAAGAGAGAAAAGAAAAACAATAAAGATACGGGATTGTGAGGAGCCTGCGGGAGGGGGGGGGATCAGTGGAATGCACTATAGTTGTAGTTATTTCGTCGCTCTTATGACGTTCTGACATAAAGACGTATATCTGTTTCCGTATGAGCCTGGGAAAGCATAGAGTTATTCGGAAAACAGGGCTCACAAGGAAACAGAAATACGATTTCTAGTCAGCGGGCCGATTATTGAAATTGATAGACAAATCTATAGACAAAGAAGACAAAAGAGATATGGAGAGATCTTAGGGGTGGAAGTGGGTGGTTTGAATGGACAAAAGAGGTAGATAATAGACTAACTATAACGGCAACCGAAAAGAGACCCTTTAGATAGTCCATCATTTTCCCTTTAGTCTGTAAGAACCATCAGATTCAACCAAGAAGATCGCTTCATACTTCCTTTATCTTCTTTGCCTATAGCTTTGTCCATCAGTTTCAATAGTTAGCCCGCAGAGAAGTGACGATTTGCGAAAGATCCAATAGAGAACGCGCGAAAAAAATACGGAAAAAATGAGTTTGTTGGGCTGAATTTATGATTTTTGGTGAACGAAGCGCATGTGGACGGAGAGATTGTACTTGTTGGAATAATGCTTGCCGCAGATTTCACAGAAAGTTTCACCGGTGTGAGCTTTCATATGCTGTCGCAAGTTGTGTCTGTACTTGTACCTGGAACCGCACGTTTGGCATACGTGTGGTTTGTCGTCACAGCCTGGATCTGGAAAGCAAAGGAGCAGTTAGAAATGAACAAAAACTAACGCGCGGGGATACTTATTTGAAAAAAGGATTCTCAGCGATCGACCAATGGCTAGGTTTAAAAATCGAGTGCTAAAACTATTGACACCAGCCACTAGCCTGGTGATGTCTCTATAGAATCTTGGACATAATTTTTCAATCACGAGACGTTAAAGTGCTTTGGAACTGGGAGAAATCGAGAAAACCTGCAAACTTCACTTTCAAACTTTGCCAAACGGCATCTCCTCGCTTTAGGGATTTCAAAAGTTTTAATTTATAGCGTTTTCAGGCTTTGAAAAATTTAATTTATTAATACGTAAAAGTAAGCCCTTAAAGTTTTTTTTGGGCTTTTAAAGCGGTGCATACGTAGGTACATATTTCCGAATGAAAGTTGGGCGCTCAATCACTGATGGTATTTTCAGTTGGTTGTTTGGACGCTCCTCTCCCCCCCCCCCCCCATCTCAGCGAGGCGTTGAACTTTCGATTCAAATCGGAAGGTATTTAGCAGAAACTAACCGGGCCACATCAGCTATAGCTAAATTTCATCGGCCGATTTATTTTTTTACGGGGTAACTTTGGTTTCGATTCTTTAGAAAAAACATGGGATTTTCTTTTGAAGTGAAGAAAATTCTCTAGAATTTTAAAATAATCTGAACAACAGATCTCATGTAAAAAATTAATCGCTCGATGAAATTTGGCAATGACTGTCAAATTAATAATCATCTGTGCTAAGCAAGATTAAGCAAACTTAACACTTTATAAAATAAAAATACAACTCAAATTTTCAGGTTAAGTTCTTGATAGTATTAGCGAAAGAATTCTGTAAAAACATTGACTCAAGGTACACACGTACTTCTGCTACGATACATTGTTTTCAAAAAATTAAAATGGCGTTTACGGCGTTTTTGCGTTGCATGGCAGTGATGACGTCCAAGTGTCACAGAAATCCCCAACTGCCCTACAGTTCGTCGTAAGAAACTACTATTTCTGGTTTATTTTGGAAACAACGTTTGCGCGTTAAGTATCCCTGTGCAGATATGCGCTGTCATGGATCAGCCGTTACAGTAATTGCAAAATGTAGTCCTATTGATTACAGGACTTTTGGGTTCACAAAATCTTATCGATGATGAAGCTCTGGTGTACAAAGCTAGACATGCTCACCCTAATTTTCGAAAAAATGTTTAAATAAGGCAAAACTAAAATTGTTAGAAAATAAAACTTTAATATCAACATACAAGTGGGGAAAAAGAAACGAACAAACATACAAAACAAAAGAAAAACATACAAGGAACAGTCTGACGAGTGTAAAAATTTCCCAACCCATAAAAGAAAATAAAAATTAAAAACTATGTTTGAGTACAAAAAACAACTTGTAGTTTAAAGACCATAAGATAAGAGGTTTTAAGAAAAGAGGAAGTACTGAAAATTGTACAGTCTATTAAAAATCTTAGATAGCACACTATCTAATGATTTACGAAATAAATGAAAGGGAAACAAGGAGAAAAAGTCATCAAAAATTTAAAAACAAACATGGAATAGGTGAAATATCGTCTTTCTACCTCTTTCCTATCCGAAAAATTTAAAGACGTTCGAGAAAGAGGATTCTTTGGAAACAAGCTTTGAACCGATGAGCTTTTTACACTGAGAAGCCGAAAAATACGCACTCAAACCTCAGCTCAATGTAAAAACAAACAATATGAAAACGCCTCTATGACTCACAAATAATTAAAGAAGTTTGGCAATAGATCGATGCAATGCATCACTGAAATTGATAGATAAAGCGATGGACAAAGAGATAAAGGGAAAAAAGAGCTATCCTTATGGTTGAAATGGGTGGTTGTTAAGGACTAAGAGGGGGGGGGGTTAATGAAGTGGGTGAAAGTTCTCTCACGGCATGCTGTTAGTTAGTCTATACCATTTCCCTTCCACGTCCATTGCAACTACCCAATGGGATAGCTCCGTTTTCCGATTATCTTTTTTGTCCACTGCTTTGTCTAAGAATTTAAGTAACTGGTCGGGAATTCAGTAGAGGCTGTAAGAACCAAAGTTTCGGACTGATATCTCACGTTTTACGGTCAAAAGCCCGGATATTATGAACGCCGAGCATATGGACTGAACGGTTATATTTGTTGGAGAAAGGCTTGTTGCAAATTTCACAGTTATATTCTCCGGCGTGAGCTTTCATATGGGCTCGTAAATTGTGATTGCGCATGTACCTAGCTCCGCAAATTTTACAAATATGCGGGGCCTCCTTCTGACTATAATGCTGGGAAAGATCTGAAAGAAAACAAGCCAATTTAGTCGCAAGTAGGTAATTCTTGTTTTTGTACTTTCACAAGTCATAACGTACGGGAGGAAAATTTCTTAGAGCACTTGTATATCCTGGAGAGACGGCAAATCCGGGGGGGAGGGGGGGAGGGGTACGCCTGTTCGCCCAAAAAAAGGACGTAGACAAATAAAAGGACGAAAGAAGGAAGGAACGCAGGAAAGAAGAGAGAGAGACGCTTACATTTCGTAATTATTATTCATGACGAAATTGACTCAACCTACCTATCAGATACTTCGAAAATTCACAAATTTTTTGGGGGAGGCCCCCAGACCCCCCTTACGTCCCCCGCCCCCACGTTTGTGGTGTCCGGATCCGCCTTTGAAAGAGGCGTAAGGCCATGTCCATACGAACACAGTTTGGACGAATTAGTTCCACGAAACGGGGGTTGCAGGAACAAGTTCGCCCGAAGTTCCTCGAACTGCGCACGTGTGGACAAGGCTTTAAATATGTTTTTCACCGAGAAAAAAGATTTGTAGAATTTTACCATTCCTTCACGCTGTATTTTACACGGCGTGAATTCAAAGTCGATTCTGCCAGAGGAATTACCTGTACCAGTATATAGTGACGTTTACCTTTTTTCTGGCAGAATTCACTCTGAATTGACGCTGTGTGAAATACAGCGTGAAGGAATGGTAAATTATACCAATATTTTTTTAGGTGATTTCAATACCTCTGAAAATAATTAAAAGGTTTCAGAGGCGTTTCTTTAAAACGGAGAAAAAACTAAAGTATGTCGAGAGCAACTCTGAAACGTATGCAATATAGAGACGACTTTGGAGCGGTGACGTTTATGAGCTTTTAAAATGGTTTAAAGTCTTTTCAGGATCATTTCTTACTATTTTTTGGAACATTAAAAGTCATTAAAAGACACGTAAAGTGTTACAGTAATTTTTTTAAACATTTTCAAAAGTTTATAAGATCATTTTGTAAATGGACGTTCCTCTGTGCGTTAATGCAAGGAAACTGATTCGAATGAACAGGATTCCAAGTATCATTTTTCAACGAAAAAATCGCGAATCACACAAACGAGCTTTCGACCTAGTTGCCAATTCATTACGATAAAATCACCGAGATCATCGGCATATGAGAGATATCACCCAAAATCTGCAATTAATGACGATTTTCTCGGAGATAATATTTCCGCGAAAATCGGCATCAATAAGGAAACGAATGCACGGTACTGAATTTTCGGTTCCGAAGGTATTTTTATAAATCTTTCAGTCGATTCGCAATAATCTGGTGATCGATTCGAAACTCATTGTGATCACTGCTACTTCGGAAGAAGGGCACTTGGTGCTTATTTCTCTTTTCACTACATCAGATAGATGGTTCATTGGTTCATTGCAGTTTCAAAATTGCCGTTCACTGACTGGTGCTTGGAGAGGAAAATTCCATTCTAACTTGAATTAGGAATGAGAAATAAAGAAAAATTATATTTAAAATAATATAAATCAATTTAATAAGTGTTGATCGATTTGCAACATACAATTATCATGATACCATTATTTTACCAGGCATAACTTCTAACAAAAGACAAGAATAATTTGAAAAATAGTAAAAAAGAATAGGCGAAGATAACTTGTGTTCGGTATTCTCACTTCGTTTTGAGTAGGATTTTCAAGAAATTATTCGACTTACACAGGAATATTTACAAAATTCACAAGACGATCAATTGTATTAGATAGTACTAAAGTTCCGAAGCGCAATTTTTTTCGCTTCCATCGAAAGGGTTAAAAATTGTTCCTTCAGGATGAGCAATAAGACGATGAACAATTCAAATATTCTCAAAGAAAATTGTTGACAGAGCGACTTATTTAGAAATTAAGCCTCAACCGAGGTGTAAAATGCGTACTTAATCCTAAAAAACCATTACCATTACACAAATGTTAAATAAAAACTCTCCTATCTCACCCGTCTAAGTTAATGATGTTCAAATTGTTGTGCAAACCATATTCTACATAGAATTTTAATGAGAGAGCATGTAATGCAAAAATTTAATTCAAAAATGGAATATTTTCAAATTTTATCGACTGACTCACTCCTGAAACATTTCTGGTACATCACCAGTTCCTACTAATTCACATTTTCTGAAAAAAAGACTCACTTCGAGGATGGTAACTCTGATTCCGATGCTGTTCTAAGAACTATAGAGTGTCGTATAAAACAGAGAGTCATGCAAAAAAATAAAAATTATGTAGAATTAAAAAATGATAGGTGATGATAGACAGAGAGTCGAGCAAAGAAATAAGAATTATATGGAAATGTAAAATACAGTAAAAATGATAATTTAACACGGTAAAAATCATTCGGAGAATCTTGTAGACCATCATGTAGAAATTGGCTCACATCTTGAAACGACAAACCTATAAGAGTTCCAATTGTTAAAGACTTATATATAAGGAATTCACCGTTTCGTATGGTGAACGATAACCATATGCGACTGCAAGTTTCCTTTGGTTGAGTAAACTTTCGAGCAGATCGGGCACCTAGTTTCGCCCGAGTGGGACTTCATGTGCTTTTGGAGGTTGTTTCCATTCGCGTAGGAGGCTGGACACAGGTGGCATTGGAACCTTTTCTGTTTCTGCCCCGTATTCTTAAAATCTGAACGGGGACTCATTATCATCGGGTAAAAACCTGGAATGAACCGTTACAATCACAAACAAAATCATAAATCAATAATCCGATGATCAAAGTTTAACGTTCGGTCGACAGTCGCACTGTCTCCGAAAAACACTGAAAGTAGTTCTATTCATGTTGCTCTGAGATGCAACTATTCGAGCATGACGGATAGCCACGTTGCCTGTGTGAAAAATGAAGGCGCGCTTTGTGTGAGGAAGCGAACGGTTTTGTGCACTTCGTAGGTTGTCTGATGAAACTTTCTTCTAAACAACCCTTGCAATCACAAGCAAAATCATCAATCAGTACTCCGATGATCAAGGCTCAACGTTCGGTCGACAGTCGAACTGTCTCCGAAGAACACTAAAAGTAGTTTTATTCATGTTGCTCTGGGATGCAACTATTCGAGCATGACGGATAGCCGTGTTGCCTGTGTGAAAAATGAAGGCGCGTTTTGTGTGAGGAAGCGAACGGTTTTGTGCACTTCGTAGGTTGTCTGATGAAACTTTCCTCTGAACAAAGCTCTTTCATCACACGAGGCGGAGTGGGGCAAAATGCAGCATTAGGAGAAAACTCTGAGTGTGAGGTGTTGTTAAGCGTCAAAAATTTCGATTTTCAGTTCTTTTTCCAACACTCTCTAATTCTCAAGAACACTTAGTTAACTTTTGGGGAATCTGTGCGCCTGATGAACACATAATGATGGCATATTCACCTCTCTGGGCTCTTAAGCGGACGTAATTATTGTTACGTCACAGAAAAGCTATATACACCGATTTATTCTCATCATCAGCATTAAAATATGTCATGCAATTGTTCTTGTTTGGCTCTAATTCGTTATGGAGGATTTACCATGGTGACGTCAACACTATACTAGTTTCCAATCTTGCCGTATTTTTATCTTCCTTCCCCTTCCCTGTGATGTAGATTCAAATTATTACCAATTTGTAACACAATAGGTCAGTTACGCTAATCATAGAATCGTATTTTGATGTTCCATTCTTGTGGATGAGCTGAGAGTATACAAGCTCTGTCCAAACAGCCACTTTCTACTCTCATTATTAACTGAGATGTAACGCTTTGAAAAATTCGATTTTTGACGTTCTCCATCGCGGTAGTGATACCCTCAGTATCTTCCACCTTGGTTTAATCAGTCAGTAAGACATAAATTTGCACTGTTTTCTCAACGTGAAACTCCAAAGAAACCTGAGGTGTCACTATCGCGGTGGATGGCGTCATAGACCGAATTTTTAAGCGCGATTTCTCGGTTAAAATTGAACTTAGAAAGCTACTATTTAGATAGATTTTATTATTTTTAACTAATCTACGATGGTTATACGCATCAAAACACGATTATGTGGCCATCGCAACTAACTCAATATTGTGTAAAACAACCAGCATTTTTTTTTTGTTTATACCGTGGATTTTCTTCACTTATTCTTGAAAAAATGTTAAAAAAATAACGTTGGAATCTTTGGGCTGTCTTGAAAGACAAAATGTTGAAAAGAACAAAAGAATACAAGTGCTGCAATGGAGAAACGTATATTTTATTCCGTCTAAAGTTATTGATACGGGAAAGTGAGTCTCATCGTCTGACACGATGAACGAGGATTAGGTGCTGTTTCAGGCTCCATGTGGTCGAATAAACCTTCTTGCATATCTTGCAGACAGTTTCTCCCATGTGGGACTTCATGTGCTTTTGTAGGTTGGTGGCATTTTTGTACGATAGTCCGCAGTGGCAGTGATACCTGGCGGATCCTTTGGCTGAACTGATAGTTGAAACGTGACTTTCCTCGAAGGAACCAAAACCTGAAACCAATCGAAACCACGACCATTCGTCACCATTAGTGGCTTGATTGTTGAATCGTTACCGAATGATCCCGATCGATAAATCCCTATCTTAGCAATACTTTTTATCGTTCAAGGTCATTCGATATCAGCGGCGTGGCGTGCTTCGATATATATCGATAAATCCCTATTTGAAGCTATGGTAAAGAATCGATTATTAAGGTGTTCGTTGCGAACACCCTGATAATCGATCCTTTTCCACAGATTTAACTGACAGATCAATCGATATATCGCAAAGCACGCCACACCACTGATCGATATCGATTCAACAATCGAGCCGCAGGTGTGCAGAGGTCTTCCATTTAAACCAATGTTGAATTATCGATTTTTTTCGGAGCACCTGTCCCCTCCAAGAATTTCATTTCCATAGCTTTAGGTGCGGCAAGAAAATAATGCGTCGTTTCACAGACGGAAGAACGTAACTCTAAACCAAGGTTGCAAAATTTACTCGAACGATTCAACTTTTCTGCAAAACTGTTACTGTGCAATTTGTATTCAAAAATTGTCTGAATCTTGCACGAGATAAGCAGAAAAATCGGTGGAATTGCCAGTTAGAAAAATGTCAAAGGATGTCCGGGTAAAAATGCAATTTTCGAGAGAAAATTGGGCAACATTGAAGTGCAGTTACGGTCATTCGTCCGGGAAACGACGAATGGTGCTGATTATTGAAAAACAAATCGATAGACAAAAAAGACAGAAGGGAGATGAAGCGATCCTATAAGTAGACTCGGTTGCGATGCGCAAAGGAAGTAATAGACTAACTAATGGCAACCCAAAAGGGACCCTATAGTTATTCCATTATTCCCCCCTTGCTCTAGAACAACTACCCACTTCAACCGATAAGATCGCTTCATTTGCCCTTTGTTTACAGTTTTGTCCACACAGTGGTCTTGAGGCAAAAATAAATGTGGCAAAAGCGATGCCATATTCAAGAATTCCATGCCGAAGACCGATATATTATCAAACTGAGCCATTTAATAGGGCCGGAAATCAACTATCATAATTAGAAAACTTGGATTCGCCTCAACATGAGTAGAGTCCCTCGTTCCGCCTTCAATTACTCGAATAGGCAATCAGCGCTCCGGGAAGTTAAAATAGTTGCTGAAAGCCCCTTGCATGTCGCAGTGCATGATTTGACAAGACGAAAATCTGCTCAGTTGGCTGTGTCTCTTGAATGCAAAATCCGGCTGATTATTGAAATTAATGGACACAGTGGTCTTGAAGCAAAAATAAACGCGACAAAAATGTACCCAAATACGGTTTGCAGGGGGTGAGTCTATGGTGCGTGTGGACTTAAAATCGCGGAAAATAAAATCTTGACTGACCCTAATTTCGAGATACCGCAATTTGAAATTTTCATAGTGAATGCGAGTTTTCTACTGATTTTGATCAGCTTTTTTCATTTATTTGTCTTTGGAATCTGTTTTGATCGGTTCACGTTTTTGTTCTTTGTTCGATTCATGTCGATCGAATACATACCCTTTCGTTACATGCAGACTTCCTTTCATATCCCCCTTTTTTTTTTTAACCGAACAGTTCGCCTTCTCCTGCGGTTGCAACAATTGTTGTTACGAATCTGTTGTGCGTGTGGATTCTAGTTCATTACATACTCGACACTCTGAAGGCGTTTTTTGTGCAGAAGTAGCGCAATCTGTCGGAGAACGAACAAAGTAGGGATAGACGCCTTCAAAGAGTCAAGTATGTAATGAACTGAGATCAGCACGCACAACATATTCGTAGCAACAATTGCTGCGGACGCAGCTGAAGGCGAATTGAAAACAACCGTATAAAACACGTTTAATACCATGATCTCACGTTGATTTCTTTAATTAATATTATTACCAAGAGAGTTGTATTTTATGGTTATTTTATGGGGGATTCTGGAAAAAGTGTTCAACATAATCTAAAACATAAAATAGTGTGTATTTTATGTTTTAGATTATGATATGATTTATTATGATTTAGATTATGATATAGTAGCGCAATTTGTCGGAGATCGAACAAAGTATGGGGCTTAATCGATTCGTTCAATCCTACTTCTGTTGTTCTCCAACAGGGTGCTCTACTTTCGCACATTAAACGCTTTTGAGGAGTCAAGTATGTAATACCATGATCTCACGTTGATTTCTTTAATTAATATTATTACCAAGAGAGTTGTATTTTATGGTTATTTTATGGGGGATTCTGGAAAAAATGTTCAACATAATCTAAAACATAAAATATGATTGATGCTCCGCAGCCCGTGACAAGTTATACAATAAGAAAACAAATTACACAGCGGGTAACAAGGCTTTTCGCGTAAAAATCACCGAAACGTTTCGACTGAAGAGTCAGCCTTCTTCAGTTGTATAAAACAGTAAAAAATTGTAAAAATATAAAGAAGTAGTACTTGGCCGTACCTTTCATAGCGAGAATGATACTGTTATGCTATTTTCAGCCGGGAGAGAAAACTATGTTTTCAAGAGGGAAAAACCATTTTCTTTGGACGGAAAACTATTCTTTTGGGAGAGAAAACTGCCTCCTCGGGAGGGAAAACGATTTTCTCAGGAGACTTAACTCTCCAGAGAGAATAGATATCACTCCGGAGGGAAAAGTTGTCCCGCCCGAGAGATTTATTTCTCTGGAGAAAACACTTGTCACTTTGGAGAGAATAGGTGTCACTCCGTAGAGAATAGTTTCCTCTTACGTTGCATAAAATCATTGTTCTCGCTTTGAAAGGCACAGCCAAGTACTGCCTTATTAGATTTTTACAATATCTTACACTCTTATATTTTTATCGAACTGAGGAAGATTGAGTTTTCGGCCGAGATTGTTTGGTGATATTTACGTGGAAATTAGCCTTGTGTCAGCGTTGTGTAATTTTTTTTATTATCGTATGAACTAAAACATAAACGAAGTTTAAATGAAAAATAAATATACCGCGTTACAACATTACAGCACTAAGAAATCCAACAAATTTGTTGTTTCGAAGTTGTTTTTAGTTCGCTTTTAACTGCGACCGCAGCAATTGTTGTTACGGATATGTTGTGCGTGCTGACCTCAGCTCATTACATACTTGACTCCTCAAAAGCGTTTAATGTGCGAAAGTAGAGCACCCTGTTGGAGAACAACAGAAGTAGGATTGAACGAATCGATTAAGCTCCATACTTTGTTCGATCTCCGACAAATTGCGCTACTATATCATAATCTAAATCATAATAAATCATATCATAATCTAAAACATAAAATACACACTATTTTATGTTTTAGATTATGTTGAACACTTTTTCCAGAATCCCCCATAAAATAACCATAAAATACAACTCTCTTGGTAATAATATTAATTAAAGAAATCAACGTGAGATCATGGTATTAAACGTGTTTTATACGGTTGTTTTCAATTCGCCTTCAGCTGCGTCCGCAGCAATTGTTGCTACGAATATGTTGTGCGTGCTGATCTCAGTTCATTACATACTTGACTCTTTGAAGGCGTCTATCCCTACTTTGTTCGTTCTCCGACAGATTGCGCTACTTCTGCACAAAAAACGCCTTCAGAGTGTCGAGTATGTAATGAACTAGAATCCACACGCACAACAGATTCGTAACAACAATTGTTGCAACCGCAGGAGAAGGCGAACTGTTCGGTTAAAAAAAAAAAGGGGGATATGAAAGGAAGTCTGCATGTAACGAAAGGGTATGTATTCGATCGACATGAATCGAACAAAGAACAAAAACGTGAACCGATCAAAACAGATTCCAAAGACAAATAAATGAAAAAAGCTGATCAAAATCAGTAGAAAACTCGCATTCACTATGAAAATTTCAAATTGCGGTATCTCGAAATTAGGGTCAGTCAAGATTTTATTTTCCGCGATTTTAAGTCCACACGCACCATAGACTCACCCCCTGCAAACCGTATTTGGGTACATTTTTGTCGCGTTTATTTTTGCTTCAAGACCACTGTGTCCATTAATTTCAATAATCAGCCGGATTTTGCATTCAAGAGACACAGCCAACTGAGCAGATTTTCGTCTTGTCAAATCATGCACTGCGACATGCAAGGGGCTGTCAGCAACTATT